ATCCATCCATCCATCCATCCATCCATCCATCCTAACTGAGTTTTCTCAGGCGGTGATACAGAAACATATAACTGTGCATCATCAGCATATTGTGTAATCCATTCATCTGATCCTTACCTTTGGTTTCCAGAGCAACAGGTTCAGAGAAATCTCCTGCTGCGGCTTTGTTTCTCGCTCGAACTCGAACCACAACAAACAGCGAATCAAATTTCAAACCTGAACATAAAATAATTGTGTCGCTAAGCAACGTATCTGAGTGACATCATATCTGTTAGGACCTTTCCGCAGCATCTTACCTGAGATGGTCACCTGTGTGTCTGTGATGTCACAAATCTTCTCCCAGTCCCCCGTAGCTCTTGGAGAGCTGTTATGGTTTGTTTTACGATATTCCAGCTCGTAGCGCTCGATTGGTCCATCCGCTTCGGCGTCACTGATCGGTTGCCAGGCAACAGTGATGCTGTTGTCGTGGACGAGGCAGCCGGAAACGTTGATCTCTGGAGCTCTGGGGACTGAAAACACTCTTTTTAATGTAGAGCGATGAATTTCTTTCAGCCAACTAAACGTAACAATTTCCATGGCAACATCATTCAGAATTGATGGAACTACACCATAAGCACCAAAACTAAAATCTACTATCACTCTGTGGGCGGAGCTTCTGACCTGGCAGAAAGTTAAGGCGTTGAAGCCCCGCCCTCTCGCCGCTGAAGTCGACGGTAAACTGCGACATGTTTTCTGACACCATCGGTCGAGTCGTCAGCCGGAAGGCTGGAGCCATTGTTACCCTGGCAACAGCATGAAGCGAAGCCAACAGAGGGGGGTGGGGTTGTGTGTTAGTACAGGGTGCGGTTAGCATGCTAAACTGGAGCTTTAATCACAGAAAGTGAGTGATTTGTTAGTTTTAGTTAATGTTTCTGTAAGAATCAGTTTTACAGATTGAAAATATTAAAGCAAAAAAAAAAACACAAACAAAAAAAAACAAAGAAAGCAACAAAAAAAAAGAAGAAACAAAGAAACCTACTGAGCAAATCAATCAAACGCAGGAAACAAACATGGAGTGTGATGATGCGTTACGTACCGTTCCTTGATCTGTTTGGCTGCCTAAAAATAAACAACAACACAGTTAAAATTTTATTTTTAAAAATGTCTATCCAAATATAAGCACATGTCCTGTCGCTGTGTGTTTGGCCCGTCCGCCCAACCATCCATGGGCCCTAAGATTTTTGGGGCCCCCTGTTTCTACAAAATAAATAGATTCACGCACCTACAACAAACTCATTGCAGCTCTGGCTGCTGTTTACATTTCTATATCTATATATTATCCAGTGTTGCTAAAAGTAATCATAAAAAAATTCAAAAATTAGCATGCTATTTACAGGCAAAGGGAGAAATGGCCTAGTAGTTAGAGCTGTGCGCTTATGCTCTGGAAAGGCTGCAAGTACCCGGTTTGATCCCCACAACCTGTACTCTGGGTCCCTGAGCAAGACCCTTAACCCCACACTGCTCCCATGGTGCCGCACAATGTCAGCCCACTGCTCCCCAAGGGGATAGATTAAATGCAGAGAGTGAATTTTTGTACTTGCTTTAAAGTTGAATTCTATTCAATTCTATTCAATGAAAGAATCATTCAATTTATAATTTTTTTTAAGTTCCAAAAATATGCAGCAGCGATGTATAAAAACTAACATGTTTTGCAACAAAACAAAATGAAACCAGGTAAAAATAATTTAAAAAGCAACATTTTAAGCTGAATAATGCTTAACATTGGGTTCAAAAAGCTTTAATTGAAAAAAAATAAATTGTAACCTTCCATCAATCGATAAAATTACTTTAACCTGGACATCTGATCTTATTATGTTAGTTATTATTTATTTCTACAAGATCAAAGATTTGTTCATCTTAAATAAATGCATCATTCTTAATATAAAACTGTATTGTGTTACTATAATCATATAGTAACTATTATACATGCAAAACAAATAATATTTGCGCTAAGTAGCCACTTAGTTTGCGTGTGCGTTGAGCCGGCCCTGTTTCTGCGTACCACATGGAGAAGCTGATTGGCTCAGAGAGCCAGGCAGCTTTTCTAGGTTTATTAATCCAAGGCTTTCATCAGGGGAGACTGGATTTATTACCATAAAATTATGTTTTTATGACCTTTAATCTTTTGGATCATTTGAGTCGCTGGGCGTAAAACGTGTCTGTGGATGAAGAAGGAAGTCATGTTGATTTGCCAGAAACCTGGTAAAGCACCCCATCGAAAGCAGGGAGAGGAAATAACGGAGAGAATTTTGTTCTAAAATGATTAAAGGAAGAGCACAGTTTAAAGAGAGTACATTCAAAAACAATAATTAAAAAACTTTTTAAAAGTAGTTTACAGTTCAGATTTTACACTTATTTTCTAAATGTTCTTTTTTTCCAGATTTTTTTCCCCCTTTTTTTGAGAAAAAAAGGGGGAAAAATCAAATCCAGTGTCACAGATTTAATCCTCCATACTACTCAATTGTCTGTGCATAGAACCAATAGAAATGAGTCTGCTCTGCCTGGACGTTAGCAACAGCTTTTCTATTGGACCAAAAACTCAGAAGTATAGAGGGTGAGATTAGTTAAAGGGGATTTCAAAGATTCACTAACTCAGCCCCCTCCCCCTCAAAATGTGGAGAAATAAAATCTTAAAGGAAGAGTATTGGTGGATTTTTATTAATTTTTGAAAAGACGCGCCCTCTCATGCACAACCCTGTACCCGCCCCCGAGAGGGAAAACCTATTAAACGCGTGCGAGAGCGTGCACAAGTCCATTTCTCCTCGTGCACGCTATGTTTAAAAGTTGCTGTTTGCATCGCTCATACAAGCTTATATTAACAACAGATTTGCAATTCTTCCACTATGTCAGACTCACCAGCGGTAAGTGAACTTGGGGACGAGGACGGCCTTACATTAACACGTCACCAGAATGATTGACAGTTAGGAAGAACAAATATTTTGAGGATCCACCCAGAAAAAGAACATCCTCCACTATACTTTTAAATTACTTTAAACAACGAAGAAAAAAAAAATAAAAATAAAATCTTTAAACGAAATATTGTATCAGGTAAATAATATCTGAAAAAATAGAAACTTAAAAATGCAGACTATGAATTAGGATGAACTTTTGCATATATATAAAATACTTTCAACATATTTTTGTTTTTTGTATTTAGAAGTTTTTCAAAGGTGAATTTTTGAAACTAATTTTCTTCAAATTTTTTAAAAAGGGTTCTTTGTTGCAATAATTTTGGATCAAATTTCTCTCCATAGAAAAAGCAGGGTCCTGATCACCCATCCATAATGTTTCTAATTGTTTGTAAGGTTCTAGTTCACCGAAACAAAGCGAACATTTTGAATTTGCTGCAGTTTACTGGTTTGTTCCACTCTGGATGAAATTAGGTATGGAGAGCCATTTCAGCCAAAATTAAATAAATAAATAAATAAATGGGTGAAATAAATAA